CCCAGCGGTTGGGTTACTACCCAGAAGGTTGGGTTAAACATTTAACCCAACCGCTGGGTCAAAACAGCCCAATTGCTGGGTTTGTCCCTATTTTACCCAGCACTGGGTTGTATTTAACCCAGCATTTTTTAGAGTGTATGTAATACAAACAGTGATGTAATCACAAACAGCCTTTCCTTATGAATAGTGAAACTGAACTGTGTATTTTATATCATGAAGTGAGGATAAATCGTATTTAGTTAAAATATGGTATAATAAAAATATGATACAACAAAAAAAAAACATGTTAAAAGCTCTTCTGAATCTTATCATTAGCATATTAGCATATTTCTCTTTTTATTTCTTTCTCTTTTTCTTCCTCTCACATTTTGTTGTCTTATTAGCTGAGCAGAGACAGAGGCTAGCTGCAGATGAGAGAAGGAGGGAGTATCATGAGGAACAGAGGAATGAGTTTGAGAGTTACGCTGAAGAGGAGCACGACGGTGAGTCTACACAGCGAGGAAACTCAAATCACTCACCTTGGCGGCCATATTGGATCAAGCAGCGCTAGTAGCGTTCTGAGATCATTCACCCAAGTAAACAGGATTACGCATGAACTTAGCTGAACCTTGTAGGGTTTTACAAAACAGGTTTACCAAATCTAATTAAGAACAAAAAAAAAAAAGATTATATGACTTAAAACTTATTATAAATAAATATAACACATATTAAAAATAGAATGAATTATATATTATATTTAATTTTAACTACATTTTTAATTAATTTTAAGGTTACTTTTCATGTTTCATGTCACGTAAATACATTTCACGCCCAACTTATTTATTTGTACTGGCTTTTCTTTAGGCATGATTACAACATTTCATTATGCATTCAGTTATTTTGTGATAGATTGATTTGTTTCATATTGTTTTATTTCAAGGTGCTTTTAATTTCGTATTTCACGAGGTTTTTAATTTTAAGGCATACTTAATTTCAGGAGGTATTTCATGTCTTTAATAAATACATTTGTTTATTTACTTATGCTTTTATTTTAATGTTCATTTATTTATTGTAATATTCCATGCCGTATTTAATCATTTCAAAGTTTTACTATTTTTTTTATAAAAATCATTTTTAGTTTAATTTATACAATTCTGCCATTATTTATTCTAATATTGTTTTAACATCTTGCCTACACTTTTAAATATAATGGGAACAAAATAGACTGAAAGGATTATCTATAAATAGTTTATATAATAGAATAGGCTATTTTCATATTCAGTTATCATATGTAACATGATACAACACTAACAGCATGTAATAAACCTTTATTTAAATATGTCTGCCTTTAATGTTTATACAGTATACATGCTAATCATGTACATGGTCATGTTATTGCAGTATAGCATCAAATATTTACACATATTATATCTGGTACTCTGTAGGCCTGTGTGTAAATATCTGAATACAGAGTTAAAATCAAAATTCCTTAATTTTTACTCTCCTCCAGAGCAAGACGAGCACACCAGAGAGAAGACAGAGCAGTGGAGAGAGTTTCACTACGACGGCCTTGACCCATCTTATGAGTACAACCGACACACGGTCTAAAACAGAGGATAACTACAGGAGAACGGGTAGAGAGCTTTACAGTACTTTACAGCATATTTCTGTAAAGGCGTTTTGGCACAATGTCTGCAGTAAACAAGCACACAATAGCGCAAAAGAACGTAGCCTTATATGTGTATTCATGCATGCAGAACGTATGTAATCCATGTATAATAGTTCTCTAAAAAGATGTACATTTATTCATAGGCTTTTATAACCCTTACTGTACTAATAACTCGCCAGTTGTTATTTTTATGGCTAGTTTAAAATGTATTGTACATTTCGTCACACACTATACACTCTAAAAAATGCTGGGTTAAATACAACCCAGTGCTGGGTAAAATAGGGACAAACCCAGCAATTGGGTTGTTTTGACCCAGCGGTTGGGTTACTACTCAGAAGGTTGGGTTAAACATTTAACCCAACCGCTGGGCCAAAACAACCCAATTGCTGGGTTTGTCCCTATTTTACCCAGCACTGGGTTGTATTTAACCCAGCATTTTTTAGAGTGTAGTGACAAAAGTCATTGCACAAGTTACAGAAAATCTGTAACAGTCTTTTTAATGAGTATTATTTTTCATAGAATTTAACCCGATTTTTATTCGTTTTGTGCTGGGATAATGTAAAGTGCTACATTTAATACAAATAATATTTGCAGTCTAAGCAAACATGTAAATCTTCGTAACAGTTCTTTTAGTTTTGAATGAGTCTGGACAACAATAAAACTAGTGTTTGTTATCTTGGTCTTTAATGACAATTTGAAACCATACACTCACCACAGAACAAATCTACTAAAGAGAAAACACTGCTTACATCATTTCTGCGCCCTGAATGAAATAACCAGCACTCAGCTGCTAAATTCAGAGGACCGGTATGAAGACATGCAAGATTGAGAGCAGAAACTGTTTGAATCTCTCACGGTCGTATATCAGTGGACACAGCATATCAAAACGGCTTCAGCTAAACTGGAAAACTGCAATGTTTGCATTCGTACACTGGACAATGTGTGAAATTCTAGTCGTTTTTCGCTTCACTGAAACACAAAATCAGCAAATACAAATAACCGTCACTGAAGCTGGTACTTTTCCTATCGAGCTGTGATAAAACAAACACGTTATTGGTCAAGCGTTCATCAATCTTCTCATTAAACACAATTAAAAGAACAAAATCATGATAACAGTTTGCATTACAGTGTCTTTATTACATATCTTTAATAATAATGTACTATTAATAGTAATTTGAGTGGCAATAGCAATAAATACTTGAATTTACACAGCGCAACATAATCACTGCAATGTAAAGTGTGACCAAGAGTCGTTTTAAAAAAGCAAAGCTTACAAAATAAATCCAAAACATACACAAAACACTTTTAAAAAGTGCTTTTCGCCACCCTTTCATACCTCCAAAAACATTTGACACACAAATCACTCCAGATTCTTTCACTGATATTAACAAATTGATGATAAAACCATTAAACTGCACATTTCCATTTGTTTATGCAATATTCACATCCTTCATTCACTCATTAATAAATGCCAGATGCACCCAGGAACGAATTTCAAATGCATACATATTGGATGACAGTAAACATGGCTATTGGTTTAAAGGTGACATATCATGAAAATCTGACTTTTCCAGGTTGTGTGTTTTTAACGTAAACCTGTGTGAATGAGAACTTAGTTTAGTACTCACATGCTGTGACAGCCGCTTTCTGTCCGTGTGCTTCGGATGTGTGCTCTCAGAAAACCTTATATCAGAAGTTTAAACTCATATGGTTTAAAACGCATGATTTCAGCGTGATAAACATGATAATCAATACCAAAACAGATGTTTTTTAGCAGGTGCGAGCTTTAATGTCGCAGCTCTATTCTGGAAAAGGGGGCGGGGAGCAGCAGCTCATTTGCATTTAAAGAGATAGGTCCGAAAAACAGCTATCAGCTTCTGTAAATCACATCCTTTACCATTTGATTGTTCGAAACAGCAGCAGGTTGAAATAAAGCAGCAAAAAGTTACAACAACGTTTTAATGAATGAGACTCTTTTATCTACACCTTCTAAGACTCAAAGTAGATGTTCTTCAACTCAGGGTTTGTAATCCCCACTCAACAGCCACATGAGCGTCCAAATCATGAGCTTTACTCATTAAAACAGTCCCTGAAATTCACACAGGCCGCTATTTTTGGAATCGGTCTTGCTTTATAGCACGCCATTGGCTTTCCAGAAAGGAAAACTGGTTCGACTGTGGACAATGGAAGTTATCGTTAAATAGAAGAAAACACGTCTTTCCACTAAGTGCAACAGTCAAGTGAGCAGTCTGACAGGAAGTGATGTCATTTGGAGCCAGTGATGATGGTAGTGACCGTGGATGGCCGTGTGTGCCGCTCGGGCGTCCCCGAGGAAGAGTTTGCCGCTTGCATGGAAGAACCTAGACAAAGATAACACCCTCTTCAAGGGCTGTTGGACAATACGACATAATACAACAAACAGCACATCACTGGTGATGAGTCAATCAAGTTGGTCAGCAAAAGTCTTGTGAGTTGTGAGTTTCATGAAGTATAAAGTATTAAGGCAAAAACTTACAGTCGTTGCGGTGGACTGAGGAAACATCGACCGACTGACTCTTCCCTGGCATGGATGTTGGATTCTGCTTCCTGTGTTGAGAGGAATCCATACTGCTGCTGAGCTGAAGACGCCTCATATGTCTGATCACTGCGGTAGCGTTGAACGCTTGCTGTGAGGAGAGAAGAATATAGAGAATAGTACAGAATTTCAGATCATCTTACATGTTGTTCAAAGTAAAGTTTCTCTGAAGGAGGAAAGGAAGTGGTCACTTACTCGCCATTTAGCTTTGGCAAAGTTCTTCTTCATCTGTCGGCTGACTGATTCGTGGATGTTCTTACAGAGCGCAGTATCACCAGCTATCCTGCAATCAGAAGAAAGTCAGCGGTTGGACTTCCTGCAGTATCATCCAGCATCCATGAGGAGGCAGAGTCTTATGATATGTGACCATATACGAGTATACATTGCATCACTGACATGCTATTGTTTCATTAATATTTTGAACACTCTAAAAAAATGCTGGGTTAAATATAACCCAGCGCTGGGTTAAAAAGGGACAAACCCAGCTATTGGGTTGTTTTGACCCAGCGGTTGGGTTGTTTTGAACCCAACCGCTGAGTCAAAACAACCCAATAGCTGGGTTTGTCCCTTTTTAACCCAGCGCTGGGTTATATTTAACCCAGCATTTTTTTAGAGTGTTCAAAATATTAATGAAACAATAGCATGTCAGTGATGCAATGTATACTCGTATATGGTCACATATCATAAGACTCTGCCTCCTCATGGATGCTGGATGATACTGCAGGAAGTCCAACCGCTGACTTTCTTCTGATTGCAGGATAGCTGGTGATACTGCGCTCTGTAAGAACATCCACGAATCAGTCAGCCGACAGATGAAGAAGAACTTTGCCAAAGCAAAATGGCGAGTAAGTGACCACTTCCTTTCCTCCTTCCTCCAAAAAGAAATTTTACATTGAACAGCATGAAAGGTGATTTCAAATTCTGTATTCTTCTCTCACAGCAAGCGTTTAACGCTACCGCAGTGATCAGACATATGAGGCGTCTTCAGCTCGGCAGCAGTATGGATTCCTCTCAACACAGGAAGCAGAATCTAACATCCATGCCAGGGAAGAGTCAGTCGGTCGATGTTTCCTCAGTCCACCGCAACGACTGTAAGTTTTTGCCTTAATACTTTATACTTCATGAAACTCACAACTCACAAGACTTTTGCTGACCAACTTGATTGACTCATCACCAGTGATGTGCTGTTTGTTGTATTATGTCGTATTGTCCAACAGCCCTTGAAGAGGGTGTTATCTTTGTCTAGGTTCTTCCATGCAAGCGGCAAACTCTTCCTCGGGGACGCCCGAGCGGCACACACGGCCATCCACGGTCACTACCATCATCACTGGCTCCAAATGACATCACTTCCTGTCAGACTGCTCACTTGACTGTTGCACTTAGTGGAAAGACGTGTTTTCTTCTATTTAACGATAACTTCCATTGTCCACAGTCGAACCAGTGTTATATTTAACCCAGCATTTTTTAGAGTGAAGTTTTTTTTAAATATATTTTCCATTTTTTGTACATTTTTGTCTATACAGTTTTTATTAATTTGTATTTCAGTTTTACTGATTTTAGTATATCAAGTTGAAATGAGAAGTGTCACTAGCTGAAATAAAATCAAATTAACTTTATTTTATTTCAATTAACTTTTTATGGTTTTAGTTTAGTTTTAGTTCACTATAATAATGCTGTTGTGCTCCATTACATCAGGTGAGTGTAATTATGGTTATTGCAATATTATTATATAATATTGCAATATAATAACTAATATTATATAAAATATATAATTATATATATATATATGATATACAGTAAGATTTATATATATTTATCTTTTATGCTCACCATGACTGCATTTATTTGATCTAAAATACATGTAAAATAACTTACATAAAAAATGTAATTTATTCCTGTGACGCAAAGCTGAATTTTCAGCAGCATTACTTCAGTCTTCAGTGTCACATGATCCTCCAGAAATCATTCTAATATGCTAAATTTGTGCCATTTCAGGATTCTTTGATAAACTGGAAGTTCAAATGAACAGTATTTATTTGAAATATAGATATTTTGTAAAATTATAAAAGCCTTTACTATCAATTTTTTGGTAAATTTAATGCCTCCTTGCTAAATAAAACTATTAATTTCATTAAAAAAAAAAAACACTGTATCTTACTGAAAATCTCCCCAAACTTTTGAACTGCAGTGTGCATATAAATTCTTACATAGTATATAACACTTTTAATTAGCAAAAAAGGCCTAATTTATACTATTATTATTTTTCATCGTATTATTTATCAGTGTGACAATTTCATGACAAAAAAGTAGATTGTCCCCAGGTCTCATTACTGTAATGCATGTAAATAATTATCATATTATGGTATAATATAACACAGTACGGATGATTCAGGATGATTGGGCCATTTTTCCCAGTCATTCAATCACAAAAAAGTGTCCTAATTTACACAAAGTCTGTCTATATTATTTGAATTGATATAATATTTAAAAGTATCCATGCATCATGGTGTGAACATGTTTAATTTATGCTGATTGTATTGGGAATAATGAATTTCAAACTCAAAAGGAAAACATTTGAACTCAGTAATGAGCATTAGGGAAGCAGAGAAATATGCTTAATATTACTGAGAGCAACTAAAAGCTTAAACCTGCAGCAACTGATATAACACCAGGGCTTTTCATGAGAAAGGCCATGAAGACGTTGTGTCTATATTCCTGGTCGCTCACCATGGATGCCGAAGAGCCTCTTCACAAGTGAACCTCTTTTCTGGATCTTTCTGCATCAGGTTATTAATGAAGTCTTTAGCTATGAAACAACACAAATGTGAAAATAAAGAAACCTGAATCAGTTACACAAGGGCGCAGTTCTAATTGTGAAAAAATGACACCCTCCTACACTTCCCCAGACACCAGAAAACCGCTCGTGGTGTGGGTGTTGAGTTGTTATTTTCAAACGATGCCGATTTACCCAGCGTCAGATAATGCTTTTCAACTGCTGATTTATATCTGGCTGCAAAACATCAGTCTTACTTTTGAAAAACCCTCATTAAAGTGTTGCTCATGGGAAAAAACAAAGTCGTGACTGTCAGAGACAAGTAAACACAAGCAACCCAAGTCATACTTGATGGCATTTAAGAGACAAAAAGAGGTGAAGAAGGGTGTCAACGAATAAATGTAAGAGCTTACGTCATTAAAGGGATAAATCACGCAAAAATGAAAATTCTCAGAAACGAATCCGTTTCAGGTCCGATTAGCTTCCATAGTATGGACAAAAATACTATGGAAGTCGATGGGACCCAATGAGTCACCAACATTCTTTAGAATATCATCTTTTGTGCTCTGGAATGAGATGAGGGTGAGTAAATGATGACAGAATTAAAATTTTTGGGTGGACTGTCTGTTTAACTATAATATATGATTCACTTTGCAGTGATTTCCAACGCCATACACACCTGAATCAGAAATATCGTCCCAGTACGGGGAATCGAACTCGTATTCTGCCCTCAGTATTTGCTCAAACAGTTTGGAGTCATTCTCGTCATAAAACGGAGGGTATCCACACAACCTGAGGAGGTCGAGGATTCAACAGTGGTCAGTATTTTAACCTAAAGACTTCTTTTCAAGATACTGAATGTAAAAATAGTTTGGAAAAAAGCCAAATGTGTATCATATGTGGTAAAAAATACTCACAAGATGTAAGCAATAACTCCGATAGACCAGCAGTCCACAGCTTTGCTGTAAGGCTTCTGTGCCAATACCTCTGGAGCTAAAGTAATAAAAGAGAGAGAAATCGAATGAAATGATACATTTAATAAAGTGTAAAAGGGTAATTAAAGGATAATTGACCCCAAAACAAATTTGATCATCATTTTGATCATCATATCAGGATTGCATAATATAAACGTGCAATTTTGAGGAAAATTCAACAATTGCAAGATGTTGACTCACAATTGTGAGAAAAAAGTCTGAATTGTGAGATAAAAAGTCCTTTATTTATTTATTTATTTTTTCATCCTGTGGCGGAACCAAGCCTTCATGAATGTAATTTCAAAACCATATGTTTCCTAATTTGCTTTTTCTAACCACTTTTATTGTGCATTTTTGGACTTGACAGACATGGTCACTTCATAGCCTACAATTTGCATAGAAATTGTTTTATTTGTTAGTAAATAGTAAATGGATATGGAAAATATGAACGTAGAAATAACAGCATATGGATTTGAAACACATGAAGGTGCATAAATGATCAAATTTTCTTTTTTGCATGAAATATTCCTTTAAGTATTAAGTAAATTTACAGTAAAAAAAAAAAAATATAATAATACAGTTAAATAAATAATCTGTGGTTGCCAGAACTGTACCTTAAAAATAGCATAGCAACATTTTAAGTTTTAAATTTATGGTTAAAAAACATATATCTTTCATTAAGTGAAATAATGTTACGATACCAAATAACTTTTTTTGCCTTTATAATACACTGGCAACTACCTTAAAACACAGGTGGTAAAGTGAAATGACACTAAACTGATGCAATAAATATTAATTCAATAAAATAAGATGTAGCATAAAACCCTAATGTACATAACTGATAAGAAAAACGTAGAAGACAGTTCATTCATTGAAAAACCATCAAATGTGAGCTGTCACAAAGTTCAGTATAAAGTATAAAGTATAAGATGTCATTTCTTTTTCACTTTCATAAAACTTTACATTTAACAGTATTTTATTGTAAAATTATAGATCTATCACAGTTTTTCACAGTATAGAGTAAAGGACTTTACCGTAAACCAATTAAAAGGCTTTTACTGTAGCATTTTTACAGTCTTCTTACAGTGTTTTACCATTAAATCTATGATCATTTTATTAAATATTCAGATCCAGTGCAGATTCACATTGATATTTAGTGGATCGACAGTCTTACCCACATATCCCGGCGTCCCACAGGCTGTGGACATGATGTCATTGGCTGCGCCCTCCATCTTGGACAGCCCAAAATCACTTATCATAATCTTGGATTCTTCATGTGGGTTAAAATAGAGCAGATTCTCTGGCTGTCAGGAGATGAGAGAGTAGGTGATAAGGTTAAAAAGTCACAGGGAGTTATTTACACCGTACGGCTTGTTTCCACTGGAGTGGAAGTGAGTGTTCGCTGTCCGGTGACCTTTAATTTCTCATGTTCCAACTTCCTATACACTGTATAATGAAACTGAACGTCTCTGTACATCGATTTGTTGTGCTGTGAAGGAAATCAGTCAAGGGAAATCATCACCTTCAGGTCTCTGTGGACTATCCCCAGTGAATGCAGGTAGTTAACCGCATCCAGAACCTGTTTGATTAACGCGCTGGCATCCTGCTCCGTGTAGAAACCTCTCTCTACGATACGATCAAACAACTCCCCGCCAGACACACTGGAAAAAAAAAATCTGGTTTTAACAAGTTTTTTTTTTTTTTTTAATATAGTTATTAAGGAAAGTGAAAATTATATACAGGTATATATGTGACCCTGGACCACAAACCAGTCTTAAGTGGCTGGGGTATATTTGTAGCAATAGCCAAAAATACATTGTATGGGTCAAAATTTTTCTTTTATGCCAAAAATCATTAGGATATTAAGTAAAGATCATGTTCCATGAAGATATTTTGTAAATTTCCTACTGTAAATATATTAAAACTTAATTTTTGATTAGTAATATGCATTGCTAAGAACTTCATTTGGACAACTTTAAAGGCGATTTTCTCAGTATTTCGATTTTTTTTGCACCCTCAGATTCCAGATTTTCAAATAGTTGTATCTCGGCCAAATATTGTCCTATCATAACAAACCATACATCAATGGAAAGCTTATTTATTCAGCTTTCAGATCATGTATAAATCTCAATTTCGAAAAATTGACCCTTATGACTGGTTTTGTGGTCCAGGGTCACATATAATACGGTTTACTGTATGTAATGTAATCTTGATGACTTAAAAGTATTCATTCCTTGCAGAAAAAAAAAAAAACTTTTGAACAGTCCTGTATGTTTTCTACTTCATTATAGTTTTTTTATATACGTCATTATACTTTTTTATTCACTTTTCAAAATAAAATAAAATAATTATTATAAAATTATTAAATAATGATTAAAATAAAATTAATGGTTAAATTATAGGTATTTGTTTACTGGGCCAAGTCAGAACATAGCAAATTTGATTGTTTAGAAAAGTAATAGCATACCGGGGGCCCATTCTTCGTATGCTGCTAACTCAGTTAGCTGGATTTGATTGTTGACGATTTGGCATGATCTTGGATTATTTGGTTCTTCGAAGCTCATCCCGGAGTTGCTGTCATAGCAACAGGTTGCTTAAGCCTGCTCGGGAGCAGGCTTATTTCATGTAAACAGGATTAGATCGCATCTTTTTAAGCAGAATTGATACTTAAAATCTGTCCGTTACCAACGCTACTTTATTACAAGAGTACCCTACTAATCCAGGGACAATCATTTAAAATAATAATTTAAAAATTAATTTAAAGATAATATAATAATGTTGTGTAGTCTTTAATACTATAGACACAGCCAGCTTTACTCACTGAAAGATTTATTCGTCATAAAATTATTACTTCATAATTGTATTAAGAGTCTTACACATGCTATACAGATAATGTAGAGTCGTGCATTATTTTGAGTGGTGACCGCTATTATGGGAGTGGCTTGGAGTGCAGGAGATGCAGATAACATGATCTTGACCCTTAAGAAACTATAATTAATGCTGTCACGTAACAAATCTGTTCAAATATAAAATTAAATGAATTGCTAATTGCTACATTGAAATAAAAATGTAAAGCCTGTACAAAAATTTGAAATCGTGAATATAAATAGGCTAATTGGGAATCATGTAAAACATTTTAATAAAATAAAAACACATTTCATTTATCTATTATAACATTGATGTAGTTTTGTTCGCTTGGCTGTTTCCTTATAAAAGTCCATAAATTTGTCAAGTTTTTCGTCAGGTGTCTTTTTTAATTATATGATGTCATTACGTTGCTGTCTTGCCGCCAGCCAATCGCTGCATTGCTGATCGTGGTTTCGAGTATCGATACATAGCCCCTTTTAAACCAACCCATGAACGCACAATTATCTCAGATAACTCAATCCAGCCATACTAATCATCAACAACAGGTGCGTTCGAAGAACCGAATTAGCCAGATCCTGATTAGCGCGATGATATCATCTTGGATGTGACATTTAATCTCGGCTGTAATAAGCGACGTACGAAGAACAGGCCCCTAGAGTCAACAAGCAGCACGAAAAAAAAAACAAAGCAACGCAATAAAAATAAATAAATAACGAGCAAACCAAACCAAAACAAAGGGGAAAAAAACATACAGAAAACAAAGCAAAGCAAAGCAAAAAAACAAAAAAAAACTATTCAGGTGATTCAATTCAACAACCATCAAATAATAAATAAAATAAAATAAAATAAAATAAACACTCAATACTCCAATCTGCGTTTAAAAACAAAAAAATGCAAATGTTTTGCATGTCAACATATAGATTATGGTTGGAGAATCCCATAATCATCTGTTGCTCAGATCATTAAAATGATCTCAAACAACAGCAGCAGCCTTGGACACAAATGAGAATAAGAATTGGCTTCCTTTCAAGTCATGAGTTGGACACCCCGCAGGACGTCGAATTGGAATGTGAATTGGAATGACAGGAAGAATTTCCTGGATTAAAATTCAAATAAATTCAACAGTGACACAACAAGAACAAATTACTTTAAGTTTTCCATCTCGCAAACCAGCTTCACATGGTTTGGTTCTGTTTCAAAGACTTAGCAGACTTAAAGCAATAATGGAAGCAGCAAACAGATTCTACTCACAGTTGCATAATAAGATATAAATGAGTGGGGCTCTCATAAATGTCTTCCAGTGTCACAATGTTCTCATGCTTGATCCTGAAAAGAACAGATGAAATATTTGATCAATTACAACGAAGCAGAGTTGCACTTGAGTGGATTATGAAGGCTTTGTTTTGGATGGCTGACTTTGGTTCCGATTGCACATTCCCGTACACCATAGCATACATTCTGGGCTGATATGTTGAGCTATTTTATTCATGCAGATGATGAAAACAAAAGGAATTCCCATATGTAAGTTGCTAAACAACCATTACAGTCTCTGCTATCATTCTGACCATCTCCAATCCAGCTGCAGCGGTTTTACTCGTCAACGTATTGCCTCGCCTCCTTGCCTGAACGCCTTTTTACCATGACAACCACGGACCTGCGCTCGGCCTCAATGTGCGGTGAATAGCGAGGTCTGTGGCGGAGGCCACATGAATCATTTGTATGACCTTTAAAATGCTTCCAAATGCTTTTGACAGGGACAGGTAGGAGTCAGTAAAGGTAGGAGGCTGTGAGGGGTGTGTCGTAAAAGCGGAGTCATCTCTCGCTTTGAGGAGAAAAGCACAAACTCCCACTAACAGCTTCCTTTGAACTTTAGGGTTTTCGTCTGTAGCTAGAGAATCTTATGTAAAGCATGTAATGGGTGTTGGGTTTGTTATTTTAAGCCTTTTCCGGGAGCTTTTAGAATACTTACTTCCTCAGCACTGCAATCTCGTTTTCTATTCCGCTCTCTTTTCCTCTTAGTGCTTTTTTTGGGATGCATTTCACGGCGTACATCTCTCCTGTGGCCTTCTCTTGGGCCAGGACCACCTCAGAAAATGCCCCACTGGAAAAAAGCATAAAAGAAAGGGTGTAAAGTGTAAAATGGTGGACAGAGACAAAATAAGGTGCTTAAAAGGTAAGCAGCATATAGTGGGGTCTAATAGTCTAAAACAACAATGAAAATACAATAATAAAATGAAAATAAAAATAAAATAGTAGTGCTTTAGATAGCCAGAATAAAATACAACAAAATAAAATAAAAAACATAAAATAAA